GTATAGTTAATGGAAGTGCGTATACATAATAGTACCACCGTAATGACAATGAGGGGCTTCTCTTCAACAATTTACATGTCTTCGCTTATCTCCTATAATCGTATCTACCGTGGTAACCGTGGTAACGCAGCCGCCGACCTGTTCCCCGGCCGTCGTGCCACACATAAAGTTCATCAACCCTTTTTCGTGTCACGTGCATTCTGTTTCGGTTTAACGCCACCGGGCGCCGCTACCGCCGACGGTGATTCGCGTTATGTCTATATAATATATATTTATATACACACACACACACATATATATATATATATATATACCTATATATATTGTGTTACATACTTTTATGTACACGCTGTATACTTATCATACACTTAAGCATGTGTAAATAAATTTTATATACGCACACAACAGGCTATATCGTTGTACGGTAACCACCACCACCCCTTCACACGCCTAGTGCGTGTGTGCGACCCGGTGTTTTTTGAACTTTAAGAAAAGTACACTGACCTCGATATGATTTTTTATTAAATATTTTCGTATTATTAAATTGGGTGGGCTTATCATTATTATTACTATTATTTTTTGCAAATCCGCGTGCATTGCACATATAAATAATGTAACAATCATTAATTTGGTATTTTTATTTTACTTACGCCGCCCCTGGCAATGGTCGTTATAATGTTTTTTCATCACGATTTTTTTTTTTTGCGAATTTATATCAATAATAGTAATAAATTAATAATTATATTATAATATACAAAATTTAGGTTTTCGGGTCAACATCACGTGTAATCTGTGCTTGTGTATGTGTGCATATTATAATCCATTCGTAGATAACACACTCACAACGATATTATTATCGAATGAGAGCTTAAAAAATGACTATAAAGAAATAATAATATTTAGTTTATGTACACAGCTAGCCAATTTTGTTTTAGATTACATAGCTGTACTTGTGTACCTACGTGTGTTTGCAGATTAACACTGTACAGAGTGATGTAACCTACTCGTATAGATACTTAACTATTCTAAGACGGTCGATATAATAAAAATAAATTGATAATACTCGTTTCGTTGTGCATAGTCCGCACACGTTGTATAAATTACTGTAATGTGCGTAAACATTCGTTTTGGTTTTTTGTTGTTTTCGATTAAAGTCCGCGAGCGCGCTGGCACCTTCGCGTCAGGCCTACGCCGTACATATTTTGTGCGCTGTACGCGTGAAGGGGTGCGAATCCTTCTTGAAAGGAAATCCGAGAATGAAATACCCAAAGGGTCACACATGGATGGTGAGCTTTAAGTGTTGGTGCGGGGTGGGCGCGTTGGGCGCGGTATATGTATACGAAAATATAAATATATACAAAAATATATGTTTGTGTATATTGCTTGTGCGCGTGTGTACATGAATGACGTCAACTGCTCGGCCGCCCTCGGTGGCGTTCAGCAAACCCTTCGGGACGACCGTTTCGACCCCCTACGCAGTGTAACCCTGGAACGCACGTGAAGGACATTGACCCTGCCGTCGAGCGCGCCCGGCACGCCACCGCTTCGGTGGTCCCCGCGCTCCATCACAATAATATACATACAGGCAGAACGTTTCGGGACGCACCGCGGGCGCGACGTGCTTTTATTTACCTATTCACTAATACACTATTTATAATAAACAATAATAATAATAACAGTGTATAACATCGGAATAGATAAAAATATTGAGAATAGCTTACAACTATTTCATTAGACATTATACGTATTATAATAATATTTAAAGACGTTTAACGCGTGAATATACTTTATACCGTCAAAAAAAAAAAAAATTAAATTTACATTACGTACATATATATATATATATAAATTTAAATATCGTGTTTTACGCATTATTTCCGATGATGATTAGTCACAATGAAGACGATATTTGTACAAACGCGACGGTGGATAAGCAAGGTAAGGGAGTAAAAAAAACAAAAAATATAAAACGTTATAATATATGATGACATTGATTTTTTCGTTCAAATCGATTTAGGATCGATTGGTGAAAATCGATCATGTATACATTATACATAATATTTTGGTGTGTTTTTTGAATTTCAAAATTCGTTTCTTTTTCTTCTATTCGTTGCGTATACATGATATTATTATTAGAGTGCGAGCCCGCTCACTGTTGTTGAATGCGTATGAAATACATACATAATAATAAGCGTTTTGTGCGCGCGCGTACTTACGAACATTACGAACGACCGCGAAGGCGAATCGTACCGTGTAAATAGTGCGTGTGTGTGTGTGCGCGCGCGAAAATGGGCCGGCGGGCACATGCGCAACAGTATTGAGCGACCAGACACAGACTCACTCAAGGCCGCGTTGACCCACAATCGGGCGCTCGGTCAACGACCGATCCTCGGGCCGCTTCCCGCTGCACCGCCCGGTCGGGACGCCGCCCGCCCCCACCATATCGTCAAGTTAAAAAATTCGCTCCACATTAAGCGCCGCTGTAGTCCGCGCAAATTCGGTGTTTTGTTTTACAACGACATCCATCATCTTATCCCCGAAATCGCTTTGCGCCTAGTTTTTGTTTTCGTGTTAAATCGACGACACGTGTATGTAACGATAATATATATATATATATATATATATATATATATTTATTAATTACATACATAACTACTTAAAATTCAACGAACGACATTTAAAATAACAAAAAAAAAAAAAAAAAAATTGGTCGCCTCGTCCAGTCTTCACGAATTATTATCCAACGCGATACCGTTAACACAAATTTTACACATATTATTATTATTATACGCGTGTACGGTATGTGCACATAATACATTACCCAAATATATTATATTATTATATATTATTTTGTAAATAATTGTTATTGTACGAGTGCGCATTGTCTGACGGTAGCGTACAACTGGGCTGCGGGCCAATTAAAATATATTATAATAATTCTTGCGCGCGCGCGCCTCTCGCATGTACGCGTGGTACGAGCGGCGAATTGAGCGATTGAGCGTTTGAGCGAGCGGTGCGCGCCGCTTCAGAGTTGCTTGACCCGAGCGCCCGGCCGCCGGGATCAGTTCAACGGCCCATAACTGGGTCATGACTGTAACCGTGTCGCTACTTACGTAACGGCCTCAACGGCGGCGGCGGCATCGACGACGTGCAGTAATATTAGTGGAGCACGAGTTTCGCTCGCTCACCCGCCCTACTGTTGGTGTCACTCAGGCTTTTTTATTTTTCTTTTACACAACCTCCCCACTGCTGGTGATGCAGTCCGCCGCCTCTTTTCGGCCAAAGGACGCCGCTATAACCGTCGTAAAATTCATGTGATGACAATGAAAATATTTATTGATTACATTACATCACGACGATGGATAATGATGGGGGGGGGGAGAAACCAGCACGTTCAAATGATTAATTAATTCTTTTTGTTTTTTGAATTTCCACCGCATAGTATGAGAATCGAATAATATTTTTTCACACCACCGTAGTCGAATTATTTTTTTTGCACATTATTTTCCGACCCTATGTTAGTGTTGAACACACTTAAAGCGGTTAAGTGATAAAGTATAGCGATTGGAACATTACGTATAAACGCTATGGGTCTGTGGCAAAAACATCATTGAATAACAATAAACAAATCGACCAATTAATTGACGTGTTGACTGGTTGGAGCGGTGGTGGAAGTGTGCGATGGTAGTGGGGAGTTCGCTGAAATTCTAGGACTAGTTGGCCAATGCGCGGTGGTCGGCACGAGGGGACCGGAGAAAGTGCAACGGCCTCTCCTCGCGTAACACAATGCTACTAATGGGTTACGGCAATCTCAGGTTATCGAACCGCCGCCGTGTGTGTAATTTTATTTATAAATCACCATTATTATTATTTTTATAATAATAATAATGTGACACACATTTCATCAGTCGTTCGAAGGACAACCCCAAAGATTTTCGGTCACATCGAATACCAGCTAGCTCCGCCGTTAGTTTTTCGGTCCGTTATGTGTGCACTCATAGGTATAGTGTTTTGTATTATTCGCCAAACGTAATTATAATATATAATACAATAATTAATATTATAATGGGTCAACGGTATTGTATGTGCACATAATCACACACACACACACACATACACATACACACATGCACATGCTACACGCGACACGCCAGTCATCACGTTAAACAATATAATATAATGTATAGTATATTATAATGTTCCGCATTTGTAAATTCATTTGGCACTGCAGTCGTCATCGTCGCCATCGGACGTTAACCCGTACGACGACCCGTTTTCCGAACACAACATTTGCATACATTATCCCCGACTCGGACGTATAATGGATTATAACAATAATAATATATTATACATTAAATAAACACCGGACGAAAAATTGATATTTATTATTTATGTTATTACATGATAGTTTCTGTGTTATGCGCGCACAGACTTAAACGCCCAGCGACCGCAGCAGCGGTGAAATATCCTCCGACCTTCGGGCCACCGGGTAACTAAGTCAAGGTCGATGAACCCGTGCACCGCCCGTCCTAACGTCGTGGGCGTTACCGGCCCCGTCCGCCGGCACCAATCGGAGCGCTGCGGCGGCGGAGGCATCCCTCGCGCTACCTCGACACTTTGCCACCCTTTGGTCATCGAAACACCCTCAGTGTTCGATCGTGTGGTGTGCGACCACGACGGGTCAACGATTTCTGTACAGCTATTTTAATTTAGACGGCCGCGTTTTTATATCATAAACAAAATAATCGATATGCGTTTTGATCGCGCATTGCCGGACACGATAAGAATCCAGCATGATTCTAATGAAATTTCCGGTTAGATCAGAGTATATAATTAATGTATTTATGACAAAAAAAATTGCAAAATTTATTTTTATTTTTATAGAGTTGTCTGCTAAGAGCAAAAATCATAACTTATCGATTACAATATCATAATATTATTATTATTATTGTATTATAATTACAGTTATATTATATTTTTTGTTTTTTTACTCGTTTCAGAATTTGACGGTGACACAGTACTGTGCCGAGTTTGCGGTGATAGGGCGTCCGGATTCCATTACGGCGTACACTCTTGCGAAGGATGTAAAGTAAGTACACATTCACACATTATAGATATTAATTACAATTAATATACTTCATATACTTATACCAAAATATACGTAACACGTTGCGTGTATCATGTTATATATTTTTGCGCGTGCGAGTTATAAATATATTGATAACAATAATACACACACATAATAGGCGAATAGGTTTTTTGAACTCTGCCACAGTTCGTCAAACTCGAAGGGAAAGTATGTATATATATATATATATTAACGTCAATAGTAAGAGAGGAGTATACGTATATATTATAATGTTTTATGACAGGAAAAGAAGGACGTGACGTAACGGATAGCGCGTCTTGACGTCAGCGAAAGTCCTAGCTCACTCGGACCGGTCCACTTTCTTCTTCACTTTCTTCCGGCGTAGTCGCCTCCGTTGCGGTAGCGGCATCGGCGTTCACCGTTATAATACCTATATGTACTTGGCGGTGCAACAAACCTGCAGTTATATAAAAATATATATATGATTTAATAATACAACTAAAATATAAAAATTACTCGTTTCCGCTTATTAGATTTTGTGTATTTACAAATATATATATAATTTGCCACGACTTCATAGCCGAGGATGTTTTCTTAAATTTCATCTAAAAATTAATTTTTAGCGATCCAGTAAAACCCCCACGGGTCTCGTTCCGTTGCAAACTCCTAGTCCAAATAAACAATATACGAACCAATAATAAAATAATTATTATTATTGCACGTCGCGCGCGCCACGGTGTTATCTTGCCGACGGCTTTTTGTTACACGCTTGGCGGCCCATTGTCTTTTGTTCGCATTTCTCATGTGCATCTATATAATAATACACTATACAGTATACACATATATTACACATTTGTACGTGTATATACGTCTTCACGAAGACGTATACCCACTATTTTGTACCGTTATCCTAGCGGCGCCGCACGCAGTGGCATTTTCGAAGGACACGTTGTCGTTGCATTATCGTCCTCTCGCGTTGTTTGTACATTACGGGATCGAGAACAAAAAACCAAAATAAGGGTTGACATACAAAAAAAATGCACGCAAGTACCGCAAACGGCGGGCGGTCAGTTCAGGGCTACTATATTATCATATAAATCACTCGCACATACAATACGCATGTTTATATTATACTATAATATTATTATAATAATATGTACTATAATATTACAACTACTTGTTGTCGCTGACCTCGTCGGAGGTCCGGGGGTTGTTGCAGCGAATCCCGTTAGCCTTTTTTATTCTTACATGCACATTATCTATACAACGCACACACGTTGTTGTTGTTATGTCGACGTTGTTGTTATTTAGGTTTTTGTATTCCGTCCTATAACTGTAAAAATTCGAGCAGAGTGATTTATCGCACACAGCCGGACGACCAAGGATATTACATCGTTCTCCTCGTAGTCAAGTACGGTCGTTTTTATGATTTACTATATATTTTTTACTTCACTCAACACTATTTGTCATCGTATTCGTATTAATATCATAATATATACCATGTACGCACTGGTATATCTGCGACGTTCTCTCGCGTGATTCGGAAATCCCCGGGAGTTATGACCCGGCCACCACCGCCGTCGAGTGCGTTGACACCGCTCGGCGCGCCGTCGCCGCCGCAACCAGGGCGAACTGGGTATTCGTGATGAAATTAGGCCGATATGACGTCATAGGCCAATGACTTTTCGCCAGGCCAACAAACCGCACACACTCGCACGTTTTATATTATAATATATTATATTACAAATGTGCTGTGTATATATGTATCTGGTGTTCTATTTGCATGTTTATCAAAACGGATTTATGTATAACGTTTTTACAAAATCCGCTTTCAAATCTTCCACAGTCGGCGACAACGGTGGTTGTTTTTTTACTTCTAAAACGTACTATTCTGGTAGTCGAACGACTTATTATTTAATTTTTACTATTTTAGTTTTAGGTCAATTGTCAATTAAATAATAAAAAAATAAAATGACTGACTCGTCGTCGTTCCCCACGCAACATTAAAAAAGTTATATGAATGTCATTTATATATATATATATACGAATTCATCATCGCGTTTTGTCCTTCGCATATTTTTTTTTTTTACGACACAGATATTATCCCCACGACTGACTAAATATTCGAGTTTCGTTTGACCTGCCATATAATATATAAACATTATCATGTTATGCTTGCTCATATGTACGCAAACAATGTATATGATATACAATTTGTACAATTTAAATTTTTCAACGCTCTAGTTTCACAGCAGTTTTGAACACGCATGCGGTTTATACGCGTGCAAATATTATAAAACAATATTATCGTATACCATATATACACAGTGATAAATGTAAGGCTATATGGTATATACGTGTGTCACCGAGTTCATTGATCGAGTATCGCATTTATCGCACAAACATAAGTACACACCACTACGCGCATTCTAATGTCCATGAGTGGTGTAGTGTTAAGTGTGCGGTCGAATAACCTGCAGCCAAAACAGGAAACGTTAAGGTATACACATAATATTTTAATATATATAATCATATATGGGTGGAATGGGGCTTGCGTTATTTTCATGTGTTTACCGCAGTTGCATTACATTTTTCGAGAAATTTTGTTATTTCATAGCGTGCGGTTATCGCGATACAATAACGCATAACAAGATAACTGTGTTGAATTACCCCTTCCCAGTTTTTCCGCGATAAAAACTCGTACATATAGTGTTGTTGACTCCGCTTGTTCAACTACATAATATTCGACATAAACGCGCGTGCCATTAGGTGGGGATGCTGTAAAAAGGTTACCTATATCATATATATTTGTACTATAACGCGCACCGTTATGTACTTTTACTTGTATATGTAGGTATAGGTACACACAAATATGCATGTGTATATAGTATATTGTAATAATAATAATAATAATAATAATAATAATAATAATGATAATAATATTGTGCACCGCCACCAGCTCTCTTCGCCCCTCTAAGAGCATATTATAATATACTGCGGTCGCGCTGCATCTTCTGTGCGTCATATAACGGGCCTCGCTGACTTACAGGTATATATAGGCAGTCAGTCAGGTAGATTATATATGTTTATATATATATATATAAGTATATAACTATAGGTACGTGTGCGTGCAGTTTTTTGCACCCGCGCCCGGTGGGAGTCATTCCTCCCGCCGCCGCGTTGTTTTCTAGACGTTATTATAACAGAGCTGAGCCGCGTAATATAATAATAATAATGAAAATATATATTTTTACTGTGGTGGAGGTGGTGGTGTTACGGCGGCAGCGACGAGTTTAACGTACCGCAATTGGGTCATCGCTGCCGCCGCCGCCACCGACCGGCATAACCGTCGCGCAAGCCAACCGTAGTGTGGCGCGTATATTAAAATATTGTAGACGCGCCTGCAGTCGCGAGCTGTTAACGTTGGTGACTGTGTGTGTGTTAAAAAGTGTGTCCGAAAAAGCGGCAAAAAATTTTATTTTTGTAACGATATACGAATAATAAACTCGATAACATACGATACATCAGATCTCCCCGCTATAACTTTTTTACAAGTTCGAAAACAGTTGCTCATATAGTATAGTGAAAAAAAAACCTATCTAATAGGTTTTACGCCATTATTTTTTAATGATATAATATACTCGCACGTCGTAATACTTAACTAATATATAACATTATACGCTCGCCGAAATGCCGCCAATTTGTACGGAAAAAACGTCGTCTGCGTGCTGGCGGTGCGCCGGCGATTCCGGCGCCGAGTCCAGCGCGGCGGACACGGACGATTCCGACTGCAGCACGACCAGTTCGTCCAATAACTATACGTCGTCCGTCGATCGGTTACAGGGTTTTTTCCGCCGGAGCATCCAGCAGAAGATCCAGTACCGACCATGCACCAAGAACCAACAGTGCAACATCTTGCGGATCAACAGGAACAGGTGTCAATATTGCCGGCTCCGCAAGTGCATCAGCGTCGGCATGAGTCGAGACGGTGAGCATAATAATTTTTTTTTTTTTTAGGGGGTTTATTGGGCCTTTAAGACCATCCCGTCTCACAACCAAGCATAATAATTAATGACGATAATATTACAATACCACTAATCGTAGTTATTGACTATTTATTGCACACAATTTTAATAATAACCATCATAAAATACACACGGACGAAAACCCGTCTGCCCGACCATACGCATACACCTAACCTTCGGCTATTTAAAATTTTTAAATGTACTCGTACATAAATAGTGTCTAGCTGCATAAGTATATATAATAATAATATGAGTGGACCTTTATAATTTTCCATGACCTATACCTAGCAGCGACCTAGTTGCGATTATAACTCGTCGATCGCGATTTTTAACCGCCACCGAAGTGTCTCGTACTACAATTATTTACTAAATCATAATTAATTAATTAAATAATTATCGTTGTTGTCTCGTCAATTGATGATGGGCGGAGGGGGAAAATCATGTGTTTCGGATAATGTTGTTATGTGCACACATTTTGCGACACGCATATTTTTCAACGATTTCGGCACACTCTACGATGTCATATATCGGTTATACCGAATATAAATAACGTCACACACACTAAATATGTATATGCTATAACACACATATACACGTTATGTACGTGTATACTGTTATACGTGTATGCCATACATGTATAGTTGGTCTATCTGTCGCTCAATGTGTGTAGCATAATATGCGTGTGCATGTGTGTGTGTAATCGGTCAATGACGTAACGCAGCTGCTGAGTGGTTTATTATGCGCATACACAAAGAACGGTCGCAATGACCTGTTTTTTAGCAGTTCGTTCAACTCTCGATGTCGATGGCCGCCCCATTCCTCTCCCGTCGGCTACTGCACAACAACCGCCGCCGCCGCTGCCGCCGATACTGTTCTCTAGGCCGGCCCTATTAAATAACTTTTTACAGCAACGCTCAACGATTAAAATGTCTACACAAATTACGACGACCGCAGTTTTCGATCAAAAAACGTCTGATCTCCAACACCTCGGGATTTAGAAATGTATTGTGTAGATAGTATCGAATAGGGTTTTTTTCAACAGATTGATGTAGGTTTAAAGTTTTGAATTCGAGGCTTGAACTTTTTTTTTTGTCGGGTTTTTTATAACGAAAAAAAAAACAACAGAAAAGACATTTGTACACAAACAACAATAATAATAAATATTGTCGTTTCGCGTCGAACGGCGGCGACCTCTAGCGGCCCGGCGGCGCTACGACGTACGCCGCGGCCTGGCCGCCAGATGGCATTGTCGGTGTGCTCAGTCGACGACGAGAATTATTATAATTCGCAATTCGCGAGATTCCATCACATAACAACAATAATTATTATAATAATACGATGTATGCGGTCGTACACAACTGCGGAGGCGTGTTCGAAAAACATGACGACAGTAGAAAAATAAAAAAATAAAAAATGCCACACGACGGCCGACCGACTGCATCGACACTCGTAATACTTTATAATGTAACCGACGTTATTATAATACCATTATAAGTATTATTATTTCGAGTTACCGACCTTGTGCGCGCGCCTACGACATGAGTACGCCGCCGGCCATCGTCGACCTCGGAACGCAATGATATTTTGAGATAAACCCGCCGCGTTTTATTTTTCTGTTTTTGCACGGCGCTCTCTTCGAAACACGGCCCTGTGCGCCATGCAAGTGATATAATAATACACAATAATAATAACACAATAACGTCCATCGTCGACACACAGTTTTTATCGACATGATATTGGACAAACTATACATCAGTTGCGGTGACACATGCAGGCCTTTCGCAGCCAGGATCTCCGTGGCAATTGATCGATCAATCACTGACTTTTATCCCACCGACAGAAAAACCTTTAACTTACAGAAATTTAAAATTAGATAAAATGCCAGTTTGATTGACTGTTTGTGAATTTATATAATATATTGACCACTTCTGTTCTAATTATCAAAATATTTATTTTAATATTTATAGTAAATAATATATAAATATTATCATATGATTATATCTATAATAAGCAATACGTAACTGAACGAAGCATATCAGT